GCCACCAGATGCCCTCGGTCCCCCCCCTCCCCCCACTGCCACACCTGTTCCCAACCTGATCATCAGTTCTGCTTCTTTTCACACCTGCTCTCTGCCACCTTGTTCAGGTGTGCATGTTTGCTGTGGACTTGTCTTTCACCTGCTTTTGCTTGATCCTGCTACTGAGCCTGTCCCTGCTGCCGGACCAGGGCCTGCTCTGTGTAAGTTCTCTTTTTTTTTTGGACCTATTCAAAACACTTTATTTCATCTGGCTGTTCCGTTCAAACAAATCCAGAGCTGGTTTCTGTCAGAGCATAAACAAATTCCTTTCAGATCTTTTCACTAAATAATCACAATCTTCTCTGTGTCGCAGTAAATCAGTGGCTTGTTCAGAGTTTCAGTACAAGCAGAGCTGCTTGACTGCTTCGATGAAACAACTAAAGACTAAATCCACAGGTGTGATATGTTCAGCAGCCTGTCTTCAGTAAGCTCGCCAGGTTCACTACTGCAGAAGTTGTATTTCTACCCCTGTTTAGGAAAATCTAACTTGACTCAAAGTGAAAAAGTGAGAATATCTGGCTGTGTGCACACTGTCTGCTCTGACTCCCCCTTTCCCACTCCACACTGGTCTGGATGTGCAGCGTTCTGCCTCAGCTCCTCTCACTGTTGGTGGGTGAAGAGCAGCGTGGGCACAAGCTGTGACTGCTGTTTGATGTGAGATGACATGCTGTTTGCACACGCTCAGTGATGCAGCAGGTAACTTGTGTCTCTCTCGCCCTGCCTGGAGTTGACCTATAATTATTGTTAATCTGACCTTTTGTTCATGTCTGTCTGATGGTCACAGTGACGTCTTCTCTAACTCTGTCTGGAACTCCATGTTCACTTCAAGGTTCCCTGTGGAGCTTTGACCTCTGCTCATTGTGGAGCTCTTTCTTCAGATGCCCACATGTTTCTGGGTGTTTAAAGACTGTTTTATATTGTTTCCAGGTGCATACAGTAGAGCTGGATAAAGACCTGTTTTCTAATTATCCACAAATTTACTTTTCAATGGTGAAAGTGCATGAAGATGTTAAAGTGGCAACAGTCCCTTCTCTCCTGTAAACATGAATAATCAGTCTGTGGTTTACAGCCTGTCGTGACTCAGGATGTTAGCTGACTCTGGCTGTGTGTTAGAGATCTCATCGCCAAGAGCCAGACTGGAAACGGGTTCTGACGCTGATCTGAGCTCTCTGTCTGCCGTTATGAACAGATCTCTGGCTTCAAGTTGTGAGACCGTGGAAGTCTGAACTTGACTCAGTCTGCTCCTGACAGAAGCTAACGCTAGCTAGCAGCTGTCTGCAGGTATCAGGTAGATGAATCAGTTTCTGGCCCATTTGCACTCAGACTGATCATTAAAGTGGACTTAGTCGAAGCACCCGTTGCTGCGTGGGACAGTGCCATTTTTTACACTGTGTGTAATGATGACGCCTTGTTAGTGGTGCAGGGCTTTTATTATGCCTGTTAAGTGGTTTTGTATAGGTCAGTGTGAAAAAGGCTAACAGTTTTCCCCTGCTTACAGTCTTTGTGCTAAGCTAGGCTAACTGCACAGAGACCAACCTGAGCTCCATGTTGTTCGGTTTGTCAGCAGTGTCTGTGTGTGAGGTCAGTGCTGAGAGTTTGGAGGCTGTGGGGGGACAAAAGAGCAGGTCTCACAGCCAGAGAAGACAGACAGACACAGAGAGACAGATGTTATATAAGCTGCAGTGAAGTCCATTAGAGCTGAATGGAGATGATTCACACACATTTATCTAATTGCACACACACACACACAGTGTGACATCAGCCTCCACTGAGGGATGTAACACACTCATGTCTCCTAGCAACCCCCCACCCCTCCACACACACACACACACACACACAGTGTGCGTCATCAATTAAAGCAAACAGAGCCGGGCAAGGGACAGCAACAGAGAGAGAGAGAGACAGGTTTCAGTGAGGGTGTTGAGGAAGGAAACAGTTGGAAACCTTTAGTTTCCTGCAGGACACTGAGACTCTGCAGAGACTTTAGGTGGACAGGAAGACGTCTCCACCCTCCTGACCTGCTGCTGATTCTGAAGCGGGCTAAGCTCCAGCACTGATCCACTCTGGTCTGGATGAAGCTGAGCTTAGGGTTCTGTCATCTGATTTTTGTGCACAGGGACCTTATCATCAGGCCTGGAGTGCTACAGTCTGCCCTCGGTCTCGAGTCCTCTCTCCAGGCTGTTTTGACTCAGACATGTGCGTGTGTTGATGCCGTGGTCTTCCCTAAAGTCCTGACTACCCTGTTGCAATAGGGAAGGATTCTGCCCAGCCTGCTGACACAGTGTTGGGCCAGCACTGCTATCTGAATGATCAGCGTTGGGGCTCTAAGACCTGCCTTCATTAGGACCCAGAGGCCCAAACCAGGGCAAATCACAAAACCCCTCAGGTCGTGAACCTTAATTTTACTTTGTACAAACTACGTGAAAGAAAATCTTCTCAGGACTTTGGGGGGTTTGTAAAACACAGTGGTGTCCATACAGCATACACCTTTTTTTTTTTTTTTTTTTTTTTTAATGTGATCAGCTGCAGTTTCCGGACCAAATGTAAAGCCTAATTATTTGACTTGTAGTAATTTAACAGTACCTCATGCTCAAATTGACTGATTACAGCTTCTCTCCTGGTTTACTGTGTCTTGGATGATTATATTTTTTAGTACTACCACTGGGATAACATACTTTTTGCAGACTGAAGCTAATGGATATCCAGAGAAGTAAACACTTGAAAGGTCAGCTGACATCACCTCCTGTAGCAGAGCTAAAATGCTACATGCTAACAGTTGCTGTGCACTGCAGTGGTTTCCATGGTAACCACCCATTGTTCAGGAGGTGGTGTTGTGGTGGAGCGATATGAACTCTGCAGCTGGTTGAGTTTATAGAACTGGTTTCTGTGACTGATCCGGGATCAGTGAGTGTCTCTCTCTGCAGGGAGGAGCCATACTGTTTACACAGTGGCTGAGGGTGGGCAGGAGAGAGACATAGAGACAGAAGTACAGAGAGAGAGGAGCTGGGTGTAAACAGTGGAGGTGGAGATTTATTGGATCACAGTGAAATGTCTCCTCTCACTGAACATTTAACAGCATGAACTCCACATGACAGTTGTACAGTACAATGAAGTACAGCATGTCCATTTAAAGATGCACGAAGCTAAGCTAATGTGCGGACTGAACACTAGACTAGGTAGCGTGAGGAGACATAACACTGATGGTTCCAAAGTGACTATGAACAGAACAGGACAGGACATAGACAGCAGTGGGTCACAGGGATGTCAGAACTTTGAAATATGGAAGAAGAGATGCTACAAGTCATGTTTCTTTATGAAAAGTCCAGTTACACACTTGGTTTCTAAAAGTCTTGAGCAGGTAAAAGGACCAAATGAAACTCGCACTGAGCAGATCAGGTTGAATTTTCTTAGACTGAAATAAAACAGATTAATGATGCACATCCTTCTCAGTAGCATTTTTATCACCCTAAATAGACTTGGACGTGTTTTATAACTGCTCTTCAGCGTCACGTCACAGTGTCTTCATGAGCATCAGTAACCTCAAGTGTCGACATGTTTACCTACTGTACATTGTGGAAAACATTCCAGATGTGGCCCCCCCACCCCCAATGGAAACTCTGCCTTAAACCCAGAGTAAACAGCCATGATGTAAACAGTAACACAGGAATTGCCATTACTTCTCTACAACTACACAGGGGAAACAAATAAACTGTAAATACATTAGCTGATCAAATTACCTGTTGTACAGGGCTGCACAAAGTGTTTCAGGCTTGAGGACATCTCAGCTCTGTCTCAATGAGTTGTAGCCTCCAGGGTCAGCACAGGTCCAGCGCTGACAGCTGATATCAGAGGCTGAGAGCAGGGTAAAGCCTTGTTGTCCCAGATGGGCAGTTGGCTTAAAGACTGCACTCCATGAATAAATAATACAGAAAAGTAGAAGTTAATACATCACATTGTGCTAACTTCTCAGGAAAAGCATCTAGAGACAGCAGTAGCAGAAGGCCACAGTTCAGCCTGAGACTCAATAATAGGAGCAAGACAATAAACCATTACAACCAATGCAGCACAAGTCCCACAGCGTCTCTGCAAATGTTGACATTTCACAGTGGCCTTCTTCTCTTTTTGACACGACTGGATCTCTGTGGAAGTCACAACAGCTGAGAGCTTGATGTAGCATTTTAACAACCGCATGAACTAATGTCAGTGATGATGTGAACAGTTTATCTGAGAAGAAACTGATCGGCTCTGATCAGAAGGACATATCGGAGTGACAAATGTTCAAACTGCAGACAACTGTACTTAATCATCTGCTGAAATGTGTTGCATAATTATTGGCAGGAAAAGACTGAGAAGTGCTGCGACGTTATGGAGAAAGTCAAACATTTTAAAAACCGTTGTTTGATTATTGAAGCGAAGCTGCAACAGTAAACTCACAATAATGGTAGTAGAACTGAGAGTAACGGGCTACGTTACCAGGTTGCTGAATGTTCTTGTACTTTAATGCAGAGACCAGCTCTATGAAGTAACAGGAACTCGGCGCACACAAGTTTGTCATCTAAACAGTTGTTAATAAATGAACATGAGCCAGACGTCTCTCGTGTCCCTGGAATTCTTTTCGCTGTGTAAATGTGTTGTCCTGCTCCGGCCTGTCACTGTACAGGATTACTAGCTATGCATTTAACAAACTGAGCCGTTGCATCAAAGCAGCGTCATGAAGTCGTGGCCACATTAGGTATTTAAATGGGACACGTCTGCATTTAGTTACAGCCACTTCTTTGTTGGCAGTTGCGTGCAAATCAAATCCTTAAATTCCTCATCGCCTTCAGCAGAAGCTCTCTCTCTCTCTGCTGCTCTGACAGACTGCGCTCTCTCTGTAGACATCTGGTGTAGCCGATCAGAAACTAGCTGGTCATGGCCCATTCACTGATCACAGGACTGAATCCAGCTTTTCTAATCCACAACACAGGTGGGGGTTGAAAAACTGAAATATCTGGATAACCTCAGCTGGCTTTAGAAAATCCAGGGTTACTTATTTGGTCGGAACTGTTTAGTGATGTACAAAGAGCACCCCCCAGGACGCACATCCACAGCTGGTAAGGGACAGCATCAGTCGGCCTCATGTTGGTAGCAGCAGTCAGAGCCTCACAGTCTGCAGGACACACAGTTTGAGCACCATGATCCATCCACATCATCTGTACCGAGTTCTGGTGGGGAGGGTCACAGGCTCTGGAGATGATCTCAGCCCTGGACAGAAGGCCTTAACTTGATTTTATGGTTGTTGATGATTGTACAACAGAGTTTAGAAAAGCTCTGTTTTGTGTTTCCACACTGCAGATTCACATCTGGACTGTTTTGTAATTGATCTGTGTTAGTGTGGTGTTACTGAGCCCGTCTGTCTGCCTCTGCAGATGTCCAGCTACAAACGAGCTACATTAGAAGAGGAGGAAGTGCCTGACACTCCAGCTGAGGCAGCCTCATCTCCTGACAGAGTGGAGGTCAGTGGATGCAACACCTACACAGCAACAGAGGAAGTAACAAAATGATAATGTAGACGAGGCAAAAAAAAATCTGTTTGTTTTCTATAGCGCAAAATCACAACAACAATCATGTCAGGGCACCTGCTCTGCCTCCTGAACTGAGACTGGGAGTTGGTTCCATAGGAGAGGAGCTTGATAGCTAAAGGCTCTGCCTCCCATTCTACTTCTGTGGACTCTAGGAACCACAAGCATAGTCACAAGTGAGCTGGTAAAAGACTTGCAGAGCAGTAATGGTACTTCTGCATGTCAGTGTGGAAAAGCATGTGGTGCATATCCACATATTTGTTTTTTAGGATCACAGACCACTGTAAGGCTGATATTCCCCCCACATCTGTTTAGTCACACTGTTCCACACAACAGTATTTTTCAAAGTAACCATGTCAACGAATTCTCAGTGATGTTGGGAGCACAAAACAGGCCCAAGGTTCTCAGTCAGTTATGTCTTGAGCTACATGGACAAACTTCTTCACATGTAAGCAAAGAACTGTCAGTAAAACCACTAGGAGTACTCCTGTAAGTAGTAGAACTAGTGGTACAAACTTGATCCAAGCTACTGAAAAAAGCCAGAGAAGAGATGAAGGGAAACAGACGCTTACAGACTCTAACGGTATCCGTGTTCATGTAATTATTAGTGTTGAACAGCTGCCAAGTTCGTTGGTGTTGGGGGCAGGGATATGTCAGACAGAAAAGCTAAAGCCACAGGACACTGACAGACTTCTATAACTTCAGCCATGTCCTCAGAAAATCTACCTTAGTCCCCAGTGGCTAACCAGTCCCAGCTAAAATCCTGGGTTCAGAGTCAGAGGCCCCCTCCAGGAGCCCGACCTGGGAGGGTGCAGCCTGAAAACGCAGCAGGGGCCAGCTCCATGTGGGCCTACCACCCACGAAGAGGGGTGCAGTCGGGGGGGGATTGTCAGTGAAGATGTGTGTGGAGGAGGAGGAGGTTCAGTCAGACCCAGCAGCTGGACTCATCCAGGCTGAGGCGGCATCAGGAAACTGAGCAGGGACACTGTGCTGACAAACAAAGGTCGTTTTAATGAACGAAGCAACACATTTATGAGCACATGACGTCGAGCTCAGCCGGGATCTGGTCGGTGGGTCACACAGCAGCAGCTGGTGGCTGTGGTTACATCACATCAACAGGTTTTCCTGTACCTTATCTCTTAGCACTGAGACCAGACCGGGTGCTGGATTAAAGGTTGAAGGTGGGTGGGAGGATTTGTGTGACTGTTCGGTCTCTGTGTCTCAGGCGGGTTTCAGGAAGGGGGGTGTGGACATTCTGGGGAGAAGGACTCAGCTGGAGGTCCTGCTTTCAGTCTTTCTGCTGGCTGCTGTACTGGCCCTGCTGGCCTGCCTGCTGGTTCTGGGACTGGGACTCAGCTCAGGTACCTACACACCCGCTGTCCTCTAATCTGTCTCTACCTCCTCCTCTCCTCCTTTTGCCCCTCCTTTCCTTTCCTACCCCCACCCTTTCCTTTTGCCTCCCCCTTCCTTCTGTACCCCTTTATTTCCTTCTCCTTTGCCACCTCCTTTCCTTTCCTGCCCCCTTTCCCTGTTAAACATCCTCCACCGCTCCCCCTCCTCTACCTCCTCCTTTCCTTCTCAGCCCATCCCTTTCTTTCCTGCATACAACTTTTTTTCATTTTATTTCCATTCTTATTCCTGCCCATCCCTCCTTTCCTACCTCCTTGTTCACTTCTTCTACCTCCTCCTTGCCTTGTATATCTTCTTTTCCTTCTCTGCTCTTTCATAAGTTACAGATATAACAGTTTATTAGAAAAGCTTCACTTTTCAGTCCTCTGCAGCTCGCCTTCAGTTATTTATTCATTCATTTTTCTTTCCCATGATGCATTGCAGACAGCGGGCATGGCCTGTGCCTGTCAGAGTCTTGCATCATGGTGGCCAGTCAGATGGTGGAGGCGATGGACCGCAGCGCCAAACCCTGCCACGACTTCTACC